GCATCTTAAAAAGCAGAGTCATCACTTTGCCGACAAAGGTCCGAATAGTCAAAGCTATGGTTTTTCCAGTAGCGATGTACGGAAGTGAGAGCTGGACCATAAACAAGGCTGACTGCCCAAGGACTGATTATATACATAAAGGAGATGAGAGCAGTCCTGACCTTACTATGTCTACGCAGTCCTCCATGCCCTCTCAGCCACCCAAGGAGAAATCAGAGATCTAGGTATTATGCTAAGAAGCTAACACGTGTAGGTGGAAGCCTCCAAAACCAGTCATTCAATGCTACGTGCAAAGATTGCGGTTTTCCCGCTTCTGACAGACTGTAAAAGAAAGCTCCCCGACTTCCTGCTCTCCGTGCCGCGGCCAGTAAAAGTTACGCAAAAGTACCCGCACTTTCTTGACATTCTTCGCCTTTCTTTGCCTCCATGCTGGCAGCGATTTCCGGATGGACTGCTGCGCATGCTCGCGCATGCGCACAACCTCCCTCCTGCGGGACAGAAGACGTCAGTAGGAGATGCCTTTTCTTTCCAAAACACGGGCGCGGGGGTTAGCTCTCCTGCGCCTGCGCGGGACGGAGCACAGGTAGAAAGTCTGCGTTGCGGAGGAGATGCTCGTAGCTGAGGCGTCTACGTCTTTCTTTCCTTCTGCCCTTTAAAAATACAGTACTTCCCTTGCACATGAGAGGTAAAAGAAAGGAAACCCTGGACGGGACCTTTCAGCCTGATTCCGGAGGAGGAAGAGGGAAAAGAAAGCTGGAAAGAAATGCGTGTGTGGACTAACATTTTCTCTCCGCCCTCCGTTTTATTCTTTTTTTTTTTTAACCCTGCGCCTGGAAAGAGCTGGTTAATTATGATAGCCAAACAAATGGCTTTGGATACTCTCCAAATTAGATCGCGGCCCTTACTCCTGAGTATTTTTTTTTAAAAATTCTATACTAGTTAGCCAATAAACCCGGCTTTGGCTGGGTTGAAATTCCATGACTCCTGCCTTCACGCCGGTGTCTTCCCTTTGCAGCCCATCCTTGTCTTTTCAACGGATCTCTTTCTCTTCCCATTCATCTTGGTGCTCATTGAGCTTATCCGAGGTGGGGTAAATGAGAATCCTCATTAAAGAACGTTTGGGGGTGGTGAACTTGATGTTAGAACAATGGTAAAATTAAAAACATGTACATTTCTGAGTTCATCAACATCTTTAAAAGGACACACCACATGACCTGACGGTACAAAAAATTGGGTGTGATTGTGAGCCCAAATCGTTTTTCGTGTGCACTGTGTAGCCCATGTTTTATCATCCAAAACACTCTTGGTGAGCAGCCAGCCACTCATTTAGCATAGATTAATTTTGTTGTTTAGTCATTTAGTCGTGTCTGACTCTTCATGACCCCATGGACCAGAGCACGCCAGGCCCTCATGTCTTCCACTGCCTCCCACAGTTGGGTCAAATTCATGTTGGTAGCTTCGATGACACTGTCCAACCATCTCATCCTCTGTCGTCCCCTTCTCCTCTTTTCTTCACACTTTCCCAACATCAGGGTCTTTTCCAGGGAGTCTTCTCTTCTCATGAGATGGCGAAAGTATTGGAGCCTCAGCTTCAGGATCTGTCCTTCCAGTGAGCACTCAGGGATGATTTCCTTTAGAATTGATAGGTTTGTTCTCTTTGCAGTCCAGGGAACTCTCAAGATCCTCCTCCAGCACCACAATTCAAAAGCATCAATTCTTTGGCGGTCAGCTTTCTTTATTGTCCAGCTCTCATGGAGCCCCACAAAATGATATTCATGTATGGTGCATAGCTTGTATTTTATTTCATACTGTCCCAAATATGCCCTTTGATTTGGGTGCAAATCTCTCCACCCCCTTTACAAGAAACTAAATGGGGTGATTTTGAGGCCCCTTGAAGTGCTTTTTGTTGTTCCCTGTAGCATTTTTTAAAAATGGCTAGCCATTCTAAACCTACCTTTCAAATTTGGTGAAAAATAGTCAGCTGTTTTGGCACGATGCAGCAGCAAAGGGATAGAAAGACAGAAACTAAGGTTTATGAGGGGGTGCTGATAAGTACTGAGCCTTTCCCAGAAAAAATTGAGCTACGAAGCTGTAACTGCCACATTATGCTACATATTCCCCCAGGGAGTCAATGCACTTGCAACATCTGTCCTGCAGCTTCTTAAGTCCCTGCAAATAAAATTCTTCTGACTGCTGGTGTAACCACTCATTTGCAGCATTAGTTGTCTCCAGAACACTCCCAAATCCTTGTCCCTTGTCTAGACTACTTTTGCTTGTGATTAGACATATGTAAACTGGAATTATGTCATGGGCTGTTTCTCACTGTTGCTTCTGAGTAAACACGCAAAGGACATAAGACTGAGGAGATGAAGCTTTGGGGGAAAGTTTTTATTTGGGGGAAATTGGGAGTCCATGTTTATTTTTTAGGAGGCCATTCATCCCACAGAACTCTAGGCAGAAAGCAACTCACGAGTAAAAATAATTCATTCATCTGAGAGGAAAACTGAAAGTTCTGAGAGCTTCAGACCAAGTTCTCAGAGCACCAGCCTCCAGAGCGGGGGGAAAAAAAGAAAAGGGCAGGACAGGAATCTGGAGGAGTGGTTTGTAGAGGAGCATGGGCAAATTCTGAGAGCAAACAATATTCACCTTGTTGCATGTACAGTAGCAGTATTAATGATGACAATCTACATAGACACACAGAAGAGCTACACTTTTCTGTTCCAACAACATTGCAGAATGAGTGGAAACAAGAAGAGGGGGGTGGAATCATGCAACATTGTAAACATTCTTTGGAGCTGAACTGAATATATCAAAAAAATAAAACTGAGCAAACAGGGAAACACACATAAAGGAAAAAGGTAGTGTTTGGAACTGTTAACTCCCAGGGTCTCCAAAGCAGGAATGGCTAGTAGCTATACTGCCTGTGGTATTCTGGGAATTGTAGTCCAAAATAATAACTTTTCCCATCTCTGACACATTCATTGTTAGCATGTTTTCTTTCTCTCTTTTTTTGCTGACAAACTGAGAGCTCACCTGCACTGCAAGGCCTCAAGCTTGCAGATTGCCTCAAGCTTGCAGATTGAACATTAAAAATAATCCATGAAAAATACTGGCTGTGTGTGATAGGAGTAGTGGATGCATGAGGATTTAGGAGGACTAGGATTCAAGAGGCCTTGGTTCAATCCCTGCTCAGCCATTGAAAAACTCATCTTTAAATATCTCATATACTTTGAAAATGTATTAGGATCTCCATAAGTTGGATGCAACTTGACGGCACAGAACAATATAATACAGATACCCTAGTGCAGAAGTCCCCAACCCCCGGTCCACACCACGATGATTGTCCGTGGCCTGAACTGGACCGGGCTGCCGAGACAGACCTCTCCCACCCGCCCGCAGTCCCCCCACATAGCCTGCTTGTGGCTGCACACATGCTCCAGTACGCCTGTGTGAGCGCTGCACCATTGTTTGTGCACGAGCACGAGCGTGCCCAGACAAGCAGCGCACTGCCGTTTGCACAGGTGCACAAGTGTGCCCGTGTGAGCACTGCACCATCATTTGTGCATGTGCATGAGTGCCCGTGCGAGACAGCATGCATGTGCTTGTTCGTGCGTGTGCATGAGCATGGGTGTGCCCTGCCTTCCCCAGCCGGGCCACAAACCAAAAACAGTTGGGGACTGCTGCCCTAGTGCAGTGACGGCAAACTTTTTTGGCCCCAAGTGCCCAAACTGGTGGGGGGAGCCCAGAGAGCGGCGGGCAGTGGAGGAAGCGGAAGTGGCGATGGAAGGGGGAATCTTGGACACAGAGGTGCCTCGAGACCCCACTCCGGATCCACCATCAGCACCAGCTGCTCCGAGTCCTGGCCCACTGCCTGTTGGGTCATCAGCACCATGGCTGCAGCCGCCTTCTCAGTGTTGGATGCCCGGGGGGAGTAGCGATCTGGTGACTTATGGCCCGCGTGCCCAGAGAGAGGGTTCTGCATGCGAGCTGTGGCATGTGTGCCATAGGTTGGTCATCGCTGCCCTAGTGGCAGTGCAGATTTCTAGCAGTGTTTCTCAGAAATTCATAATATCTGCTTATGTGCATGTATCAGGGACTCTTCTGTCTGCATGTTGCTGCAATGACAATAATGCTGGCTGGAGTCTGAGTAGCCGATGTATAGATGATCACCCAGCCAACAGGGAAGGACAGAAAGAAAAAGATGCTGAAGAATCTCTAGGAAGCATAAATGGCTTGCTTTTGAGAGACTTGTTAGGGAGAAGCTCTGGGGTTTTTTTTCATCCAGCCTGAGAACAACAAGGGCGTGTTGGAGAAGCACTCTTTAACCTACAAAATCAACTATGATGACTTCACAGTTTATGGAACTACAATATGTACTCCTTTACAAGTCTACTTTATAAACAGTCTTGATTTATTTTCAGTTCTCCCTTCCTCTCCTTGGGTGGGGGGGGCCTAATCTCTCCATTAAGGATGAGGTTCCCAGTCTGGGTATACTTCTGGACCCAGCATGATCAATGGATTCCCAGGTAGTATCTGTGGTCTGTTTTAGCTGCATCCCTACCTTGACACTGGATCCCTCACTGCACTGGTCGGGCAACGGTAGTCCCGAGATTAGACTACTATAACACTCTCTACATGGGACTACCCATGAGGCTGCTACAGAAACCTCAGCAGGTCTGGAACATGGTGGCTAGATTACTGAGTGGAGTAAATAAATACCATTATATTTCCCATATTCTGGCTGCCTTGCATTGGGTACCTGTTTGTTTCTGAGCTAGCTTCATGGTGATGATGGTGACATACAAGACCCTAAATGGTTTGGGACCTCAATACCTGGCAGAATGCCTTCTTCCAGTAAGATCTGCCCGACCTACTCGATTTTCCCAGGCTGGGCGGTTGAGAACCTTGACCCTGAGAGAGGCTCGGAAAGAGAAGACCAGAAACAGGGCGTTCTCGGCAGTTGCTCCCCTCCTTTGGAATAAACTCCCACCTGAAATATGCCTGGCCCCTTCACTGGGGATCTTTGAGAGATCTTTGAAAACATGGATGTTTAGACAGGCTTTCCTGGATATTATATTGACAGAGTGCAGTGGTGCTTTTAGTGCTTAAGTTAGTAGCTCCACCACCTTGTCTTTTTCAATGTTTTCATTGTTTTTTTATTGTTTTCATATTTTCATCCTGTCTTTTTTCTAGTTTAAGTTGATTTATATGTTTAATTGGATTTCTTATACTGATATTACGTTCATGACTTTTATTTAAAATCTTATCTGTTATTTAGTATGTTGTGAACCACCCAGAGTGGCTTTGGTAGCTAGATGGGTAGTATAGAAAATCAATCAATCAATCAATCAATCAATCAATCAATCAATCAATCAATCAATCAATAGTATTCCTAAAAACTGTGGCATGCATTGTGTGACTCTCTCTCTCTTCACTGATTGTTTTCCTTTGCAACGTTAGATTGCAGTTCTAACAAGCTTCCAAGTTAAGTAAA